TAACGGAACCTTTGATGGTTTGCGAAACTTCACTGAACCTTTTTAGGTATCGTGCGACTTTGCAGAATTTTCAAGAATTTTCGAAGTCCACTAGGTTTCGTGGAAACCATAAAAGAGTCCTTCCAATTGGAAGGGTTGCGTAAAAACCACCTCCATAACGTATAGTGGTCAAGAGGTTTCACACGAAATCCATCTTTTTCCCTCTATCAAACTCAACAAGAACACGAGTGAGCCAATCAGACCTTGGATTGACCGGGCCTCATTCTTTCGCTTGTTGATTTACATTCACGCTAAACTTCTCTCCAAAAATCAAATCACAGCTTTCAAACTTCATCCTTCACAAATGAGAGCTTTATTCTTGGGTTTACTATGGAAGTTTCACAGAGATATCAAATCACTTGTGTAAAGAAAAAACGTGTTATTGGCATCGGATGTGGGTGTGGGTGTAAGTTTTGCAGTGTGTGTAAGTTCACGATGTGAATGTGTTGATATGGATGCGTGCGTATTGATGAAGAGAAAACCCACATCCATACCCACTCTTGCAGCGAACCAATTCGAACAGGAATCTTATGATCTAAAATATATGATACTAATGCAACCATTTGTTTGATTGTATAAGCTTTTGAACCAGTTAATAGAATTGTTTGAGTTTTATACTCACTACGTTAAAATAATAATTTAGTTGCGTTGTTTCGCCAAGAATTTTCCTTGATGAAAAACATATAATAGACGACTTCTCAAATGATTGTATATTTGAGACCTGATTCTGTGACTAATTCTTCAGAATTTAAATGCGCTGTTACTATTTCTGTTTCTCGAGTATCATGACATGTCACACTTATATGAAAAATATGATTTATTATACGGAGATTTTTTTCTGCTTCAATAATAATTTGATGTTCTGTAGTTCATTTATCGCCCTCATCCTCAAGAAAGAATTGAATCTATAGAATGATGTCATAATCCTGTTACAGCCCGTATCCATATCTTTCCTAAGCCATTACGCTATTACACACCTCGCGTATCAAATCCATTATCATCATCAGCATCTACTGAGCATCTTTCAAAGTTGAGGGATATGAGTGGATTTAGGGTATTACCCTTTTCTTAATGAGACGTGAATTGAGATGAATCCAGCTATGTATTTAGAACTTGAGGGATATGAGTGGATTTCGGGTATTACCCTTCCGTAATGAGACGTGACTTGAGATTGATCCAGCTATATGTTTAGAAGTTGAGGGATATGAGTGGATTTACTGTAACGACCACGTTACAGAAAATGAACTATGTATTTAGAAGTTGAGGGATATGAGTGGATTTAGGGTATTACCCTTTTCGTAATGAGACGTCAATTGAGATGAATCCAGCTATGTGTTTAGAAGTTGAGGGATATGAGTGGATTTAGGGTATTACCCTTTCCGTAATGAGATGTGAATTGAGATTGATCCAGCTATATGTTTAGAAGTTGAGGGATATGAGTGGATTTAGGGTATTACCCTTTCCGTAATGAGATGTGAATTGAGATTGATCCAGCTATATGTTTAGAAGTTGAGGGATATAAGTGGATTTGCTGTAATGACCTCGTTACATAAAGTGAACTATCTATATGGAAGTTGAGGGATATGAGTGGATTTACTGTAACGACCTCATTACATAAAGTGAACTATGTATTTAGAACTTGAGGGATATGAGTGGATTTACTGTAATGACCTCGTTATATAAAGTTAACTATCTATATGGAAGTTGAGGGATATGAGTGGATTTAGGGTATTACCCTTCTTGTAATGAGACGTGAATTGAGATGAATCCAGCTATGTTTAGAAGTTGAGGGATATGAGTGGATTTGCTGTAATGACCTCGTTACATAAAGTGAACTATCTCTATGGAAGTTGAGGGATATGAGTGGATTTGCTGTAATGACCTCGTTACATAAAGTGAACTATCTCTATGGAAGTTGAGGGATATGAGTGGATTTACTGTAACGACCTCATTACATAAAGTGAACTTTGTATTTTGAACTTGAGGGATATGAGTGGATTTGCTGTAATGACCTCGTTACATAAAGTGAACTATCTATATGTAACGAGGTCCTTACAGCAAATCCACTCATATCCCTGAACTTCTAAATACATAGTTCACTTTATGTAACGAGGTTGTTACAGTAAATCCACTCATATCCCTCAACTTTCAAATACATGGTTCACTTTATGTAACGAAGTCGTTACAGCAAATCCACTCATATCCCTCAACTTCTAAATACATAGCTCACTTTATGTAACGAGGTGGTTAGATTAAATCCACTCATATCCCTCAGCTTTCAAATACACAGCTGTATCGATATGCACTGAGATGCTATTACGCGAAGGGTAATACCCTAAATCCACTCATATTTCTCAAGTTATATGATGGATATATTTTTGGTACGGTAATGAAGTCATTACTTCTCGGTAGAATATGTGATGGTAATGTCAATATACTTTCGTTGTTCATTCTTGTGGGTATCGTGACGGCTGGCTGTCGATACCCGTCGTATTGGTATTATGACATCTATGAATCTATAGGATTAATTTCAAGTTTAAGTAAGTGTCGTCAAACATTTGCATCAAAGTCGCCAGTTGACCCAGTTGAAATAAATTTTATCATACTTTCTACTTTAAAAATGCTAAATGTAATGTGATATGAATGAGAATATCCTAATGAATGTGGGTACAAAAATAAATTGAAGTAATGAAGTAAAGCAAAGTACGTAGAAATAATGTCTCATTGTGTAATAATTTCTCGAAACGTGGAAACTTTAATTAGTGTATTTAAATCTAAATATATCTAATTTTCCGGGTTTTCAATTAAAATTTCTAAAGGACTGATACCAGCAATATTTTTGGACTTTTAAAACCTTAACAATCTCTTCCTAAGTCTTCAAAATTGTTTTGATTTTCTGAAAAACCTTTTTAATCAAAAATTATGAAGGATGTTGGTGTGGATACAGATGGATGTTAGACCCACACTGACAACGACAGCTACATCCATTCACCCACACACCCATACGCGCACCCTCTATATTATTTATCAAGACTTGAAAATTTTCAATAGGTTCAGTTTTATTTCAATTGAAAGCAATTTATTCTTGATAATAATATTTCAGTAGATTTAATTCAGATCTCGATAAAAATTGTCGATTGAATGATAATAACAATCAACATTTTACCTATGAGTCATTTTTCAAAAAAAATCTATTTTTTCTCCATCTTGATACTGCGCAACTTTCTGAAAGAGCCGAACCTAGAATGCTCCTAATGATCTTTAAAACTTATCCTATCATATTTCATGTGTTACATTGAATTTCGTTTATTGGCAATCATTCGGACTATGTCAGATTCTTAACGATAGTTAAAGTGAATTTCTTTTCACATGTTGTTTAAAAAAATGCTATTTCTCTTGTGGACAATTATGAAATCAATGGCTATATTTTTGTGTTTTGATTGCACACAAGACTATTGCAAGTGCTTTATTGATTGAATAATCTTCATATAATGCTGTTAACATATGATTAAATTCAAAGAAATTTTTTAACAACCAGAAATATTTTTATTAATATCTTGAACCCATTGCATATAAATTCAAGTTCTATATGGAAGTTTTCTCATTACGCATTTGTGTTTCATTATTAAATTATTTATTTATTTTGCCATGGTTTCAAAAGCCAATAGGTTTATAGACGACATCTTTAACATAAATATCGAGCGAAATTTACTAAATTGAATAAAAATGATTGCTGATGAGATATGAGAAAAAAAATCGAAGATGCATTAACAAATTAAGACTCTTTTTTTATTTTTTAATACGAAATTTTTTTAAATATTCTTCACAAGATATCGTTGGGAACAAAATTAAAAGAAAACAGTTGAAATTGAAACTAATAAAAATTCATATCATATACATTAATAATCTTTTAAATAACTCTCTTTTGTGTTTTCAAAAGCAAAGCCATATGTTTGAATATTTGGAATAGTCAATCAATCGATCAAAAAAAAACTCGTCATCATAACATCGAAAACTTTAAAAAAATCATCTATTGATTTATACATAATTTGTATTGAATCTATCTAAATAATGAAATGGTACTTATTATGGAAGTTCGATTGTTTTATCTTTTAGAACCATTGAAAATTTATTGTGATTGATCATATAAGTATAGATAGTAAGATGCGAATTCGTCTCAGACCCTTATACGATCAGAACTCGCACCTAAACTGTTAAACTTGAATCCAAAGTAGATCTAAGCCAGTGTCAGCATAATCTTAGTTAAGACAACTAATCAATCAAGTCTTAAAACATAGAATACGATGCATTTCAAACTTTATCATTTGGTAAAAGTATTGACTAAAATTAAACCTCCAGTATTTGCTAATTTCTCTGCTTAATTGATCTTAAATAGGGCATTTTTCGCATATGAAAAAAATTTTTTGAATATTCTCTTTGAAGATTTTTACTTATTCTCGTTGACAAGAGAAAAAAACAATGGCAATATTATTGGCGATATAAGGCTGATACAAATGCTATGATAATATGTGTGAAAAAAGCTTATCGAGTAAGATTATCAATGAAAATATATATCAATGTGGTGCTGTACTTTTTTTTTCTGTCAATTCATCATTTCAAGGGAATTTAATTTCTTTTTTGTGTCAGAGTAAAAACATATGAATGAATCAAAGTTATATATTTTCATAAAAATTTCATTGATATTCTTTATACTATGTTATTATTTGGTAAAATGTGATCAATCAAATTTTCCTCCTCAAATCACATTTTCTCCTGATAATGGTCAAACAATAATTGCAATTCATGAAATAAATCAACGATCCTATCAGACAATCAGTTATAGCTCTACAGGACAAGAAACTTCATATGCTATGAACATATTCCATATGCAATGCCTGATTCACCTCAATCAAAATATTATATTCAATTATTAGTTGATTTGTTACCTTCCAGTTGTATGTATGGAACATATTGGAAATATGGAGGAAATACATTCAATTCATTTCCACCACATTGGCTCAATGGGACTTCATTTTAAAATTGATAATTATATTAAATTTAAATATGATATAATGCATTCAACAAATTCTTCTCAAGATGAAGACTATTGGTATGCAAATGAAACATGTCAAACTGATAGTGGTAATATTTATCGATGTGAAGAAATCTATTTAAAAAAAAATACACAAATTTCTCTTTGATTAACTCAAGCTATTTGACGAAGGTGGGATATTATACAAAGCATCACAAATTATAATATAATATCAATAGGAAAACCAGATGACAAATATTTTGATTCGATTCCAAAAACTTGGTCACTTACTTGTAGAAATGTTATGTTTGGGCTATTCTATTATCCTCAATCAACAAAAATAATTTTAAATCAAACAGTAAACATTCAAATTTGGTTTTCTACTCCTTCACATCGAATTTATGGAAACGATACTGTTCGAATTCAATGGAAGCCAGCTCGGATGGGGGTGTGGGTGTGGGTGAAGATGAAAGGAACGCTAACACTCACACCCCACACCCTATTCGAAAAAAAAGCTGTTTTTACAAAAAACCGAAAATCATTTTTCGTTTTTCTCAGAACATGGGTTCAACAAGGCATCTCCAACAGAACTCTATCGCAGTAAGAGATAAAGTCAAATACTCTTTTTGTTTGAAAGCTTGTGCTTAAGACTAGCCTTCCTCGTGGACCTTTTTTTAAAATAAGCCTTTTTTAGCATCATATAAGAGAATACCTCTATAGAAACAGCGCCATTTTTTTAGTTAGTTTTTGAGTCATTGAACTTGTCATTCCTTTTCTTCCCTTAAAAAGTAAGAATTTAGAAAAAAGGGCTACAAAAGAGGCTAGCCCTAGACACAAGGTTTCAAACAAAAAAAATTTAATTGATAGAATGAAGGCCTATAGAGGAATCTTGGAGATACCAAAGAGCTATTTTTGACCCTTGTTTGATGAATATCTCTGTCAAACGTCATGATATAGGGCTGAAATTTTTACCATAGCCATCTTTCACCAGCCCCAACATATCCTGAATGTTTCATGCAATCTGGCTGTTACTGGGCTGAGATCCGTTTTGGGGGAGGGGGCTTAATATTTTCGATGTCCTGGAAATATTTTCATTGATTTACCAGTGTGCGCCAATTCATTTCCTCCTGCTCTTTTTTATTATTAGGCAGCTTGTGTTTTCTAACCTTCTATATATAGGGAGAAAGCCCCAAACGTGCTGCATTTTATGATATATTTATTTTGAACAACAAATATAGTTTGCAGTATGAAAACTTTTACTTTTTAATTAGAATTTATATTCACATATATTATTCATATTACAACAAAAGAAGAGTAAGTATTTTTGAAAGAATTTTTAACAGAAACAAGATAGAGATCTGTGATTTTCATCATTCGAAAGAAGAGATATGTCTGCATCGAATCCTTTCTGTCACATATTCATGATAAGCTTTATCAGAGTGTTGAGCCACGTTTTCTGGAAAACATGACTTTTTTCAAAAACAAAATTGTTTTTTTTTTTATCAAAAACAATGTGAAAAGAAGTCAAGTTGTTCAAAACGTCAATCATAGATCTCCATCTTGTTTCTATCAAACGTTATTTCAAAGACATTTACTCTTCTTTTGTTGTGATATGAATAATAAAAAAAACAGAAGGGAGAAAAATCCATTGGCGCGCACTGCAATTATTGATTTTTCTTCAATAATGAAATAATGTAGTTTCTCATAAAAATTCTTTTTCATACTGTTTGGTTTTCGTATATTACCGACGTGAAGCAAGGGACATTGGAATCTGGTTGTCTTTTGAAATTTCTATTAAAAAACAAAGTAAACCACTGTCTCAAACAAATATTTAAAGAATGTTTTATTGACTTTCGGTCATTCCTCTTTATCATCATTCGTTAAATGTACTCGGTTCCTAGAAGAGATTTTCCCTTTAATATCTTTTACGATATAAAGAGAGAGTCATCAAACTGAAACTCTATTCGAAAGACTTGTGGCAGCAAGTTCCTCAGAATGGATCGTTGAATATGAGAAAATCAATATGATATTCATGTGTCTCGATGAGAAACTCGCTAGTGTTTCACTATTCCATTTTTTGTAGAAATTTTCTGGCGATACGTCTGCTGAAGCTTTCAGATAGGCTGTAGTTAATGGCAAACCTAATACATCCTATAATTTCTTTGATAGACACAGCAATTTCTGCAAAATTTGGTGTACCATTTACGGAATTTTAACGAATCTGGTAGACAGGTAATGGTCTAAGACTTTCGCGAACAATATATGGCTTCTGCTAGTTGTGGAGACTGTGTATGGTTTCTATTACAGTGAACAGATCGTCTTCAATCTGATAAAATTCTGAGGTACAGTGATTTCTGAAAAATTTGATCGACAGTTTCGGGTTTGCGTCGGAGCAGAAAGATTATCTGTATTAAAGCTCGCCATTTGGATGAGGAGTTAAGATAACATTTTGGAACATACCTATAATTCAATCAAGTGTTTTTAAAAATGTACTAAATTATGTTTCATTGTTGATCAACCTCCACGGGCAAGACTTCTTTCGACTATAAAAATATTCAGAAGCGTTTCTATCTGAATGAGAGCATGGTTTTTTTAACAAAGATTCTCAGAGGAAATAGGACTCTTAGCAGGATGTGAAATATTTTCTCCCACAGCAAATTGTCTGTGAGATTTCATGAAGTTCACCATCTGAAGGAAAATTGATTCCAAACAAGAACGCTTTAACGTTGCCTTCACCGTCAAAAAAAAAAGTTTATACTGCTTCTGCTGTAAACCCGTTTTCTCTTCTCACGCGTCAGTGTCTTTTCATCCAACTGCTAACTTATACCTGCGAAAAATACTTATCCACTTCCTTCTGAAAGCTATCGAGAGCCATAATGATGTTATCAAACAGATCTTTGTAAAATGTTCATTGTATTAATATCTCTATATCGGCACTCAAATTATGAACTTTACATATGGAGAAAGATTGACAACTTAGCTAAGATTTTGCTCGTCATCTATTCTGATAAATTTAAATTGAAAAGAAGAAAAAGAAATTTTTTAATTTTAGTTTAAGATAAGAAATGATAAGTAATTTGGAAATGTTTCCAAATGAAATATTATTAAATGTATTTTGTTATTTATCATGGGATGAAATTTTAATATACTTAGGGTCGTTAAATAAACGATTTAATTCTCTTATTTATTCAATATTTTCAAATAATGAAAATCGAATTATTTTTAATAAACCAGATTTATCTTATCAAACATTTTCATCAATATTATTACCATTAATACTTAATTCATCATCATTTCTTTCTTCAAAGATAAAATACATTCATTTTGATGGAAGTAAATCGATTCCTTTTGATTTTATTTATCAATGTCTTTTCCTAATCTTAAATCACTTTATATTACTCGATGTTTTTTAACTCAACCAATAATTCAGACATTATCTGTACTCATTCAATATCAATTAAATCAACTTACATTAACATTTCATGAAGATATGTTTGAAGGAGCTGATTATACGCGAGACCTTTCATTAACTATTTTTGATATAGGTAATCAATAAATCACTTGTCCACGTTCTTTACGAATAACCTATATAATTTATCTATTGGAAATAAGAATCTATGTGACGTAGAAATTCAAAAAATGAGAACGAATCACCAATTACTAGTGCGGTATGATCAGCCAGGCAGAGAACTGCAGGACAAGACATTTTGACAAACTATAATCTGTCTTGCGTTGTTTGGCACTGGAGAAAGATTGAAAGTTTCCTGTCGGTTTTAATACAAATTCGTTCATTTTTTTGAAACATAGAACAACAAATAACGCTCATATATAGACTGGCTTAGCTCTTTCTCGTGGAAGGACTGTTTCTCGACTATCAATAAATTATTTATTTAGGGTCAATGTTGTGTATTATTCATCTCTGACACACTCATACGTACATTATCATGGTAATTAGATGAAAAAAACCGACCTCATATTCGGATTCCATACTCTCGATTGCCTTCGATCAAAATTGTGAGATAATTAGTGCTTTTTTTGACGCCTTCGTCAGTCATTTTTCTCTCACGTTATTCTTCGACCAATTAATGCAGTGCGAATGCACAAGCAAGCAAGCAGACAATTTATTTTTGCTGGATTCTTCTCTGTGAGAAAAAGAAAAATTTATTTCAGGGGATAACGCCGCACTTTGACGCTATAGAAAGTATTCTAAAACTACATGGAAGTAGCTTTGCCAGTAGATCAAAGTAGCTTAAATTGACTTCATATGCAAAGTATTCCGTGTTCCTCTTAATGTATTTTCAAATTTCACTGAAATGAATTGATTTTGTGTTTTGTTATAATTTAATAGTAACTATCAATGGTATGTTTAAACAACTCTTGTCTCAAATATTTTCTGGTCAATGTCAATTAACTTCACGTCATCTTTACATGACCAAATTACGTTATGCTATTCATCAGTGTTTAAAATCATATCCTTCTCACCTTCCGTTAACAACAAATTCTAATGAACTTCAATCTTATTGTGTAAGTTTACGTCGTTTGCACATTCAACTCGAATATACATGTTTTCTGGAACATCTCATTGATCGTGTGCCCAATCTAGAACAATTATCGGCTGTTTTTTCACAATTACGATGCGGTGATCAATTGCGTGATTCAAACTTTCAAAGATCGATACTATCAAATGAAAGTTGGTTCAATAAAGTGAGACGAATGTAATATTATTCTAATCATTCATTCCATGAAAAACCTTTTAGTCAAATCTTATCTCTTACATAAGTCTAACTTTATGCCAAAACATTTTCTTGTGCCTAAATATAAGAAAGCCATGAGGAGTTGAAAGTCAGCGGCGAAGACGACTATCATAGAGTCAAAGAAGAACATTTGTACTACTTTATGCCATTTTTCAAAATAGGAATGTTTCACTCATCGATCTTCAAGAAAATAAATCTGAAAAAAGCGTTAAAAAAATAACCCAAATTTGATAAGATTATATATCCAAAACTGGTTTCATTTAAAGAATACGAAATTTTATATTAAACTATCTTAAACTTGAAACTCCCATAAATATGAATCAAAGACAAATTAAAATATTCTGTCCGTTAAAATTGAGTATATCTGAGCACATTCAATGTAAAATATGCTCCATCTTGAGGCCCGTGTTTGGATGGATGAGAGAACACGTGTGAGTGTAGGAGATGTAGGTAACTTATCCATCTCTCACCCACAAACATCCTCAAGAAGAACATTGAGAGTAATGGTAACGAACTGCGAAATTTATCGATACCAAGGTCGAGAACGAGATGGAGAGGCACGGGGTTGGTACATCCCTACCTAGAATTATGTTCATTGAATCTTAATGGATGACGCATGCAGGATGACCTCAGTATTTTGTTAATATTGGTCTTCATTTTTATGGCTTTTACTTGAACGTTTTTCAGAAAACAATTCATAAAATTTTCTACAAGATCCAACGAAAAGCACTCTTGAAAAAGATAACTGAAAAACCATATCTGACTAGCAGTGCTATACTCGAAAGAAAGATCAGCTTTCAAGCTATTACTTTAGTTTTTACAGTGTTATGACGTTGTCATCCGCTTACAAAAAATGCTGTATATATCATTTAGCGACCCATGAAAAAGTCACTTGAGTATCCTATGGAAATTTTTGGAGCAAATGTTTTATTTGTACTCACTTAATTGCGTTTGACGACCTTTTAAAAAGGCTCATCAGAGTTTTGATTTAGTTACGACAAGTATACAGGTAATACTGAATTAGATTTATTGCTAAGTTAAAGGATAGTATCTCTTTAGAATTGAGACCCGAGCAAACAGCTGGAAAGGTTCATCTCTGACAAGTAGTGCGACTAAAGAAAATTATAAATGTTTTTAGGTTGTTCTTCAAGAAAATTGACAGTTGAAGTCTGATAAACTTATTGGTAGAGTTTTTCAGTATAGTACTGTTCACCAGATTTGGGTTTTAGTTACCCGTTTCAAGAGTTCTTTTCATTGAATTTTGAAGACAATTTTACGGACTAGATTCTAGAAAACGTTGCAGTCAAATCGCCCACAAGTATTCGCAAAATACAAAATGAGTCATTCTTTATGTCAATAGAGACAACAATTTCTTTAATATTAAAAATGATTTTTATATAGGAGTGTCGCCTTAGCAATAATATTGATATAAATTAATATCAATTTAATACTCCAACTAATGCTAATGCTTATGCTATACCGACACTTCTGGTTTTATAGAAAGCATTGATGCTTCTGAGTCATCGTAATTAAGTCATACGGCAAGATGATCGATAAACGGTATAAGCACGAGAGACATTGTTGTTTAAATAGATGTTTTCACTTTTTATGAATTTATGGTAAAAAGACAATAGAGAGTATCCGTCAATACCACATTTCACAGAGCGGAAAAATTGTATCCTAGTTCCTCAGATCTTGCTAGTTCCAATAGGATTCACCTTTTCTCCTCCCAACTATTTACTGATTAATAAGAATTAAAATATGAAAAGAATGCAGAACACTGTAATGATCAAATAATAAAATGAAGAAATGAACTTAATTTAATTTAAATTAAATAGAACAAATAACATTTTTTTCTATTTTGATTGTTAATGAAATCATGATTGATTCTTTGTAAAATAGGTACCAAAATTAAAATGTTTTGCATTGAAGAGTTCTATTGACAATTATTTAGAATTTGTTTATTTAAAATGGCTTCTTAACAATTTTAATCATATAACAAAACTTAAAATTTATGTAAGAGGTTCAGGAATATCGAGAACAGGTCAATTAATATGGAAATCTGTTATTGATGTAAATTTTATTTGTCAACATTGTTTACTTGATAAAATAATTAATTTAAAATACTTTCATTTTTATATTGGTAGAACATGTGAATTATCATTAGTTAATATTGAAAACACAATTAACTCTTTTAAAAATTATCCTTTTTTTATTTCACATCAATGTACAAATATTAAATATTTATATGATAAAAACGAGTCATAGCAATATATTTTTTCTTCTAACTTCAATAAACCACAGCTCGCTGATAGTTTATTGTACGACATTTTACTTAGGAAAGTTTTTGATCTAATTATTTTCTTCTCTATCTAGTACTCAGCCATATATGTATGATTAGTCAGATAGTCGACATATTTGGTTTGTTTTTGATCCATCTCTTTATTTATTTCTCGATCAATTGGATAAGCAATGCTCTAATGCTTCCTCTATCACAATTCATACAGGTAACAGAGGTCCAACCAGGCCACTAGGCCTGCCTGCCTGCCTGTCACAGGCACAGGCTGCGTTTTTTAGGCCTGGCCTATCACCGGCAGGCCAGGCCGACCCCTCAGCCAGGCCAGGCAGGCCGCTTAAAAACACCAGGCCGCCTGGCCTGTCTATATTCTTTATAAATATAGTTTTTTTTTCAATATACATTTTTTTTTAAGAAATTGAGGGTAATGCTAGCGATCGGGAGAAGTATAGAATAATGTTCTGCTTTCATGGTGATTGATTGAGGTGATGACTAATGTTCAGCTCAAATCGTAGAGTTCCTCTTCTTTATCTATTCACTCTTCATGTTCTCATTTCTCTAT